ATTCACCAGATGCTCTGCTGGAGGAGGGGCAATCTCCTCCTGTACCAGTCAGAACTGGTTGATCTGGTTTGACAGTACACACAAAGTAATTAAAAAAAAAAAAAGAAAAGAAAACCCAAAGTCTGTAAACTTTTATTAAAGTTAATTAAAAAACCCTCTTTTTAAAAAAATGGCCAATACTAGTCTACCTCAGTTCACTTATGCCTAGGAATACATTCCACTTCATTTTTGACAACTTCTAATTTTCATAGATTCATACTTTATAAATCCCGTTTTAATTATTAATGCATATACATAAAAAATGGCTAGAACAGTATATTTAGAGAGAACTTCCAGAAGTTCAAGCTGGTTTTGGAAGAGGCTGTGACACCAGGGATATCACTGCTGATGTCAGATGGATCCTAGCTGAAAGCAGAGAATATTAGGAGAATGATATTTGTGTTTTATTGACTATGCAATGGCATTTGACTATGTGGATAATAACAAATTATGGCTAACATTGAGAAGAATGGGAATCCCAGAACAGTTAACTGTACTCATGTGAAACTTATACATAGACCAAGAGGCTGTTGTGAGAGCAGAGCAAGGGAACACTGTTGTTGTTATGTGCTATCGAGTCATCTGCAACTCATAGCAACTCTATGTACAACAGCTCTGAACCCTGCTCTTTCTGAGCCAGTCTCACTGACTCTGACACATCTACCCTCATTAACCCAGTTACTGTGTGAAATCATCTCACTGGGGGTCTTCCTCTCCTACATGGTTTAAAATTATGAAAGTTCTACATCAAGGCTGGTATCCTCTCTCTGTACCTAGTCAATCTGTATGTTGAGAAACTCATTTGAGAAGACTATGAAGAAGAATATGGCATCAGGATTGGAGGAAAACTCATCAAGAACCAACATTATGCAGATGACACAACATTGTTTGCTGAAAGTGAGGAGGACTTGAAGCACTTGTTGTAGAACATCAAAGACTACAGCCTTCAAGACAGATTACATCCTAACTTCAAGAAAACAAAAATTCTGGGGAGCTCTGGTGGCCTAGTGGCAAGGAGCTGCAACTACAATCCCAGAGGCGCACAGTTCGAATCCACCAGATGTTCTGCCGTGGAAGGAGGGACAATCTCCTCCTGTACCAGTCAGATGTGATTTGACGGTACACGCACACAAAAATTTAAAAAAAAAAAATTCTTACCACTGGACCAGCAGACAACATCATGATATATGGAGAAAAGATTGAAACTGCCAATGGATTTGTCTTACTTGAATTAACAGTCAACACACCTCATACTAGCAGTCAGGAGATCAATATGGTATTGGGGAAGTCTGCAAAACAGGGACCTTTCCAAATTACTGATGGACAATAATGGCAGCTTGAATACTAAGGTGTGCCCAATTCAGGCTATAGTCTTTTCAATCACCAACTATGCACCTGAGAGCTGGAGAATGAATAATGATGACAGAAGAATTAATGTCTTTGAGCTGTGGTGTTGGAGAAGAGTACTGAATATCCCATGGACTGACAAAAAGAGCAAAGAGATACATGTTGGAGAAAGGGCAGTCAAAGTGCTCCTTGATGGAAAAGATATTAAAGTTTTACCTCACATACTCTGGGTATGTTGTTAGGAGAGGCTATTCCTTGGAAAGGGGCATCATGCTTGGAAAGGTGGAGGGTTGGTAAAAGAGGAAGACCTTCAACCAGTTAAGGCTGACACAATGACTGATACAATGGGCTTGAGTATGTCAGAGATGATAAGGATGACAGAGGATAGGACAGGGTTCAGATGTTGTTTATAGGATCTCTATTAGCTGTATACATGAGTGCGTGCGTTTGCGCGCGCGCACACACACATATGACTTGATGGCACCTGATAATAACAACATGTCCATTTCTCCTCATTTTGAGTCTTATCACATAGGCAAATGAAAATTCTTCACTGAGTGAAAGCTTTATTCCATCTAAGTCATTATGGTAGAGTCTATTTTGAGGAGGCAGCTCTGCCCCAGTTGCATTTTAAGTGACTTCCAACCTGCGGGGCTCATTAGGGAAGGTGTACTTCCAATTGAAGCCTTTCTCCATACCTATTCAATCTGTGAGTTAAGTAAGTCATTCAAGAAGCTGGACTATATGGAGAAGAATATGCCATCAGGATTGGAGGAAGATTCAACAACAGCTTGTGTTAAGCAGATGACACAACACTGCTTACTCAAAGTGAAGAAGACTTGAATCAGTAAGTGAGGATGATCCAAGACTATAGCCTTCAATATGGATTACATATCAACATCAGGAAAACAAAAATCCTCACCATAAGACCAATAGACAACATGATGACAGTGAGAAGTCTCAAATTGTTAACAATTTCATTTTACTTGGATCCATAATAAATATTCATGATAGTTGTTGTGTACTGTAGAGTTGGAGTCAACCCACAGCTGACTCTCTGGTGGGTTTTTAGAAGCAGTAATCGCATAGGAGGAGACTTCCCACTATTCATGATAGTAGGACTCAAGAAATCAAAATATTTGTTGCATTGGAGAAAATCGGTTGTCAACGACCTCTCCAGAGTTCTAAAGAGTAAGGATGTCAGTTTAAATACTAAAGCAGGCCTGATCCAAGCCATGGTATTTTCAATTGCTTCCCATGCATCTGAAAGTTTGACCATGCAATAAGGAACACCAAAGAAAAATTAATGCTGTTATGTCTTCACACTGGATGTAAGGCCAAGGACTTAAGGAAGGGACCAGAGAAAGAAAGGAAGCTAAAGAAGCTTTATTAAGGGGTCACCTGGGTGGGATTCCTTGGTCTGCAGAGAGAGAAACAGACAGAGGGACAGACCAGGGAAATACCGCACCCTAAAGTGGATTAGGGCAGGTTTTATAGTAAGGGTCTTTAGGGAAGGAAAGGAGGGACATTGCATTGTGGTTTAGGCAGGTGAGTGGTTCACTCCCTTTGTTGACATATTGCTTTTCCTTGAATCCTTTGTTTTCCCTCTGACCTTGGTCCCAGCCTGACAAATGCCTTTGAAATGCAGCATTGGAAAACTGAATACATCATGGATTGCCAGAGCATAAACAAATCTGTCTTGGAGGACATGCAACCAGAGTGCTCTTTAGAGGCAAGGATGGTGAAGCTTCTTCTCATTGACTGTGGAGCTTATTATCAGGAGGAGATAGTCCTTGTAGAGAAGCATCATGCTGGGAAGGGTAGAGGGGTCAGGAAAAGAGAGGAAGACCCTCAATGAGATAGTCTGACAGAGTGGCTGCCACAATGGGATTGAGCATGACAGAGATCTTGAGTGTGGTGCAGGGCAGGGCAAGCTTCAGATCTGCTGTCCCCAGGTCTCCAGGAATTGCAGTCAACTTGAGGGAACTAACAATTCCTTTCTGCAATCTTGAGCTGAGATTCACTCCCTTTTTGATAACATAACCTTCTGACCTTGTATAAAAAACCTTTTTAGTGAATTCAGAGGGAAAATTTTTAGTGAATTCAGAAGGAAATTTTAATAGTTTTAAACTTCAACTTTAATGGAATTACTGTTAGTCTTGCTCTGAATCAGAGACTTTCCCACTTTCCGGTTTTGTTTTCCTCTAAAAAAGTCAAAGTCTTTTCCCCAGGGACAGTTCAGATCAAGAGACCAGCATTAGGCAGATGCAGGAAGTTCTGGGTACCTTTAACCCAATGCCCAGGAACACACCTTACATAGGGAGATTAGCATTCAGCTAATACAGTCAGCGCAGGAGTTGCCAGCGCCACTAAACAGTCCTGTTTCATGTTGTCCAGAGGACGCCATTTTGAAAGAAGAAAAAGACAGTGCACAGAAAATGACAGTGCAAAGCACTAAGGAGACAGATGCCATCTTGAGGCCAGTTGTGCGTGCCTCCTGACTCACATGATTTCTCCTTTTTCTAAGGTTTCTCCTTTCCCTTCCCTCCTACAGGGAGCTCTGGCAGCATGGTGTGTAGGGAGTTATGCTGCTACACCAAAGCAGGCATTGCTCTGGCGGTTCAAATTCACCAGCCGCTCTCTTGGGAGAAGGATGGGTAAACTCCTCGATGCAATTTATTTACAGCCTCTGAAAACCTGCTGGAGGGTCAGCTATGGGTCAGTTCTGACTTGACTGGCAATGTGTGAGAGTGTTCCCTCCTAACAGCATTGAAAAAACATGAATTCTTCCCCATACCCTTATCTTAATCTCCATATACTCCTTCCTAATCTCCCCTTGATGAGGCAGATTTGAGGGTCAGCGAAAGAGAAGACTCTCAAAAGACGGACTGACACAGTGATGACAACAATGAACTTGAGCCTGGTGGAGACTGTGAGGACTGTGCAGGACACGGAAGGGTTCCAAGCCGTTGTTCACAGGGTCGGAAGGAGTTGCAGGCATCTCGACAGCATGCCTTCCATCTCCTATATGTCAGTATATACAAGACAGCTTCTGCCTTTTATGTTTCAATCTCTGCCTTCAAGATAGGTTTTCCTGGTGGCAGGTGGCAGAAACGTGTTTTCTGGTAACAAAACGTCTTCCAGGAAGTCTATTCTGACCCCTCCCTGTGGCTTTCTGATACATACTTACATGCACAAAGTAGTAGAAATGCCTTTTATTCTCCCCTGTAGCCTCATGTTGTTCTTGAGTTGATTCTGATTCCTAGTGATCAACTCCCTTTACTGAGGTTCATATAATTCTTCAATTAAATGTTAAAGTTTTGGAGGGCAGGGCCATCTGATTGATAGTCCACAATGCACTCTATAGCAGGGATACAGGAATAGAGAGGATCACAGTGTCAATTTGGGCCCAGGGAGACATCAGGTCTATCACCTGCAGTGCGAAATAAATGGAGAATTTCGGCTTTTTCTTTGTTCAGCTCCCATTTCTACTGGAGGCATTATATGGGCTTAATAATCAGCTCAGCACTCCATAGATACACTGAGCCAGTGAAGCGAACATTCACAATGTGGGTGGACAACAAGAAAGGCTGCTGACACCCGGAGAAACTTACCCAAGCCGGGTTCTGCTAGAACCACCCAGTCTCCTGGCTTCACCCCAGTCACATGGCTGCCTGCTGAGACCACTTGGCCAACACCTTCATTCCCTCCAACGGCAGGTAGTTTGGGAAGGAACCCATAGTTTCCTAAGACAGAAGAGCACAGAAGGACATACATCTAAGATAGGACAGTAAGAAAACACGAGCTTTGGAGTTAACCGACCGAAACCTGATCTAAGTTCTGCCTCTGGTTAGTTGTGCAACTAACCTCTCTGAGCCTCAGCATCCTCATCTGTCACCAGTTGCTGCTGAGTCTAGTCTGACTCACAGAAACAGCACTCCATAGGGTTTTCAAGGCTGTCGCCTCTCAAATGTTGAGTGTTGGCCTTTCTTTTGGGGGCACCTATAGGTAGATTTGAACCATCAGTAGTCCAGCGCTTTAACCATTTATGCTATGCAGAGATTCCTCGTTTGCTGGAGTAACACTCCCTACCATCCATGGTTACATGTAAGTCTAATAAGATAATCTATGAAATAAGCCCAGAGTATCCTATTTCTGTGGTTTCTCCCCACTGCAATCCTAACTCTCAAAAAGCTTCACATTCCAGAGAGGGGAGGCTGGGAAGGGCTGACAGTCTGCAGACAGGTTTATGTGGAAAACAGCTGCTGCTAAGCACAGGAATTTCACACCTGCACCTGAGGAGGAATGAAAATGAGGGGGCAGCTAAGCAAAAAAGCCAATTAACATAATCCACAGAAACCAAGGTTACCTTGGATCATATTTATGTCAGCTGGATTGATAGGGGCCGCTAGCATCTTCACACGGACGTCTGATCCGCCCACAGCAGCCAGCTCCAGGTTCTTCAGTCTAAGCACAAAGCCAGAGAAAGATGTTAATGTCACCCAGGCTAGACAGGGTGTCTTTCACTCAAATCATCTCCCCAAAGTAGGTCAGGCAACATTTTGGAACTGCCGTTGTATGTCCAATGTTCTGATAAAAAAGAGAGGTGCTGTAAGAAATCAGCCCAGGATACAAGTTAACACTCTCCTTACCTGCAAGCGAGCTTCCCTGGTGAGCTCGCAAACTCACTGTTCACTGTGGCGTAGAAGGTGGTTAAAAGCTTTGGTTGGCCTACATTAGGTGTTTCCCAGAAATACTTGCTTCTAAGAATCGCCTGAAATGGTCACTATGCATACAGACTTTTGGGCTCAGCCCAATCTACTGAAAATCCAGATAAGCAAATCCAGATAAGGGGCATCCCAAGGAATTCTTATGAACAATTATCTGGGAAACTCAGGGCTTGTCCATTTATTTGCCACTTTTTGGGGGAGGTGCCCCAATACATAGAAGGGAGGAGACATTTCTGTTTGTTGTCGCATGTTGTTGTTGTAGTGGAGGAAATGTAGAGATGGCCTTTGTTGTCCGGAAAGAATCCCTTGAGTGACTATGACCTATCCCTTGGAGCACTATCCTTTCTGGGTAAGGATTTCAGTGCACCTGGACAGAAAGCTGGGGGGCTTAAGTGTGAAGCACCACCACAGTGTAGTTCTGTCAACGTGGGCCTCCAGGCTGTTGTTGGTAGGTGCTAGAGTCTAGTATGATTCATAGGACCCTGTACTACCCTATGTCATCCACGTCATCTCTGACACTCTCAAACCCAATGTGGTAGTCACTGTGTCAATCCACCTGGTTAAAGGTCTCCTTCTCCTTTGCTGTCCCTCCACCTTTCCAAGCATGATGTCCCTTTCCAAGGAATAGCCTCTCCCAGCAACATGCCCAAGAGTGTATATGTTAATTCACTCACAGTGGGTCTTAGACACCATCTTTATCCCACCTGAATTTTGCTAAATGGGTAAACGCTTTTGAGGGAAGCCCAACGTGACTATGTCCAAGTTTTATTCTTGTAATTAAAAAAAATTTTTTTTAAAAAGAAAATTTTATACTGGTTTACTTGGTGGTGTAGTCTGTGAAGAGCTTCACTGCTAACTCAAAGCCTTGTCTCTCTGATGGCTGAAATCTACCAGCAGATCTGTGAGAGAAAAAGGGGCACTCTCCTGTCATGCAATTTACAACCTTGGAAATCCAATGGAGGGTCAGCTATGACTCAGTTCTGATTTGACAGCAATGAGGTGTTTTTGGTTTTTTTTTTTATTTTATTATTATTAACCTGACAGCACTGATGAGTGGACTAGACTTGTGGACCTGTGGCTTTTTAATTACCGTTGATGCCTTTTATTTCTTTCTCCACACTCCTAAGAGTTTATGTCTGCAATGCTTTCTCTGGATCAAATGTGTTTCTGAAGCATTTATTCTCATTTTTACTTTTCAAAAGACACAGAACTGCCAACCAGAGGTTCTTAGCATGAGGTGATGATGCCACTGCACTAACTGATGTAATTCCACACACTTACTGGAAATATCCGTTCTCTTAATTATACCGGAAGTTTGGTTGATCTTGAGGTGAAAGCATTTTTTAAGAAATGTTCATATTGTATTGGAAGTCTTAGCGATAGCAATAAGACAAGATAAAGACATTAGAGGTATACAAATTGGCAAAGAGGAAGTAAAAGTATCCCTTTATGCAGATGACATGATAGTGTACTTAGAAAACCCTAAAGACTCAGCAAGAAAACTATTGGACCTAGTTGACCAATTCAGCAAAGTAGCAGGGTACAAGATCAACATACAAAAATCAGTTGGATTTCTCTACAGTGACAGAGAGAATACAGAGCTGGAGCTAAGAAAAGC